TTTATTTAAATAAATAAAAAATACTTTTATAAAAACAATTTCGTCTTAAAATGTTTTGTGCGGAAACGCTTCGAGGCGGGAAAAATGCAAAGTTATTCAAATACGGAAACTTGCACTATAAAGGGTTAATCAAGTCTAAATGGAAATCTGGAAAAGAAAAAAATTTACTCAAATTTTTATTGAAATTCTAACTTATTTTATTCTATTTTATTTCATTGTGTTTATTTATTTTAGCTTTTCAGTTTTTACCTTATTTCCTGCAGCTGTTATATCTGTACGGCTCTAAATGTTGTTTTAAATGTGCTTATAAATAAAGTTTGAGTTGAAAAGAATCGTTTTTCACCAAAATAAAAATCAGAATTGTGTGAATGTCTGCAGTTTGAACGAAGCCAAATAGATTTGCGGGTTCTAGAGAACAGATCCGGTACCTGAGCGTCTCTCTGTCGGTGTTCCAGGTGCTGATGGAGGACAGGCAAACCAACCGGCTGCGAGAGTCGCTCAACATCTTCGAGACCATCGTCAACAACCGCGTCTTCGTCAACGTCTCCATCATCCTCTTCCTGAACAAGACGGACCTGCTGGAGGAGAAGGTGAAGCTGGTGCCGCTCAAAGACTACTTTCCCGAGTACAGCGGGCCGGAGCACAGCCTGCCGGACATCCAGGCCTTCATGGTGGAGTGCTTCCGCGCCAAGAGGCGCGACGCCACGCAGAAGCCGCTCTACCACCACTTCACCACCGCCATCAACACGGAGAACATCAGGCTGGTGTTCCGGGACGTCAAGGACACCATCCTGCACGACAACCTCAAGCAGCTCATGCTCCAATGACACACACGCCAAACCCCGCCCCCCCGATCGACCCGCCGCAGCCTGTGAACGCCAGAGGACCTGAAGGAGGACGGACTCGGGAGATCAGAGACTTTGTGTTTTAGGCGGTTTTTACTCCTCCTGTTGTCGTAGCTCAGGATCTGATTACAGAGGCAGATATTTAGGCAAACTGTGGTATTAAACGTCAAAAAAACTGAAAAATCTAGAAATAAAAAAAAAGAGAGAAAGCGGACGAAGAAAACGGATGAAATGTGATCGCTGCTGCTTCATCCCGTTTCCATCTGCTCCACTTTATTTAGTGTTTGACTTGTTTTTCTTTCAACCATCAGGACGCCGGTGCTGGAACCAGTGGAAGGCAGATTAACTTATAAAAAAAAAAGCAACATTAACCGGTTAGAAGAGGGGGGGGTAACCATGGAGACGGCAGAGCACTGATTTCTAACCCAGACGGACGTCTCCTCTTCTTCTTTGTTGTTTTATTATCCAGCGAGCGTTCAGAGTTAACCGTCTGAGTGTCTCCAGCACTGACGCGTCGCTCGTTGAACTCGGAGGGCGAAACCACCAGACTGAACCTTTATTCCAGATAAACGTCCTTTTTTCCTGATTTCTGGGACGTTACCTGCCGTTAGGGAGCCGCCGAATAAACATGCAGTCCTCTCGTTTCCTCAGGGTCGACGCGGAGGCGGCGTCCGTGAGTTGAAAGGGTTGTTGGGAGGCGGCCTGACTCCGCCGCGCCGTTAGCTAGTCTGTTTTTATTTTTATTAGGACTGCATCCCCCTCGATTCCTCCCCGTCTGATTTTATTCCTGATTCTCCGTGAAATGACCTTCACTCCTTTTTTTTGTTCGGCCTTAAATCATGCATGTGTGTTAATAATTGTACAGGGATTTGCTCGCCATTGTTTGAATAAACGACCCGCTCTGTGAGAACTTCTTTATCGGCACTGAGTTTTTATGAGGAAAACAAAATTCAACGTTTCCCTTTTTTTTTTTTTGGACTTCCTTTAAAAAAAAAAAAAGCTTTGTGATTATTGCTGAAATCTGACAGAGGAGGAAAAGCTGCTGCAGATGAACGGTTTAGAGTGACTGTAAGGGGAGGGGGGGGGTCTGTTTTCCAAATAAATCCGGCGCTTTCTCCGGACTCTTCCTAATTTTTCCTCTTCGTTATTCGCCGCCTTCTTTCCTCGGCAGGAGGACCGCTTCCATTCCTGGCTTTGTAAATACTGTAATCTGTTTTTCCTGTAAATATTATTCAGGTTTATCTTCTTTTATGTAAATGGTTGTAGAAATTACCTTTTTTTTTTTTCATGCTGGATACTCTTCAAATCACTGCATCTTTCCAGTGAAGATGACCTTTATGATGTAGATTTTATTTTGTAATTTTTTTCATCACCTTTTTTTTTTTTTTTTTTTTCAAATTTATGTCAAATCCCATGCTACTCTAACCCTATCAATAAAATCCACTTTTCTAATGATACTGATAATTATGCCCCATTTGCTGCCTGTTATCAAGCCTGCATGTTTGTTTTAGTGATTTTAGGTCTGAAACAATCAGATTAATCAATAATTGAAATAATCGTTAACTAATTTAGTAATCGATTAATCGTTAACTGGAGTATAGAGACTGTAAAACGTGTCTTTAGATGACAGAGCGACAAACTTAGAGCAGGAATTATACCAAATTTGTTTAAAAAAAATATAAAAATTTTGCATTTTAGATTTAAAAAAAATTGTTTTGGTTTCACCTGGTTTAAATCGGTAAAAAT